TACATTACAAGTTATCAGAATTTAACATTTGGCCATATAAATATCTGCAGCTGTACAAAACTGCATATATTTCCTCCTCGAGTATGAGCTCCATATTCTCCTGTGTCATACTATATGAGCCAGAAAAGCCTCATGCATGACTATGCATGCAGCCTGATCCTCAACAAAACTTTTTTAGATTTTGTCTAAAGGCTAAAAAAACTCTTCCATTTAAAAAAAAAAACTTTATTTGTTTCTGATTATTATTTCCTACGTCAGGTTTTACAGGGTTAAATGTGTTTTGTACTACAGAACTTAAAGTCAGCTAATGTTAACCTGAAGACCACTCTTTGTAGTTTCCTTTATGCAAATTAATATTTTTGGGGGTACCATGGATAAATCATGTAAGTTGCACATTTATTCAGTTCACTTATCTATCGGTACAGAAACAAGTTTTGGCTACTTTCTGTATTTTGTTTCCGACTTTCCTCAGTATTAGTTCTGAGAAAAGCATCATTTGTTACGGATACCACTTTGCTTGATATTTTGTTATCTAGTGCAATGGCATTCATAGATTCAAGTGTGGCTTCAGTGTCCTAGTACATTTTGGGGCCTCTCTTGTAGCATGTTTTAACGATATGGAGCAAACAGAAAGACAGACTGAAAGAGAGAGTGAGTGTATGAGTAAGATAAGAGAGGAGGAGGAGACTACTGGTAGTATATTTCCCACATTTGAGAGGTTACAGTAAACACTATATATTAAATGTGTTAAAATCTCCTCAGGCATAGAATTGTGTTCTTTTATATTAACTTAACCACTCTTGTAAATTAAGTCAGCTTCACACTGAGGCCAACAATTAGCATTGTAGTCTATAAAAACTTGTGACAACAGATGAAACAAGTTTTTTTCCCACACTGACTGAAGTCATCTGAAACCAAGCCACAACATAATAAGAGAGAATAATGGCTAGCAAAACCAGATACATAAGAGGAGAGAGATAGAGAAAATAACTTGCACCATGGTTAGGTAACTATCTCTATTGAACAACTATGGATGCATTTAAATAGTCCAATGCATGTGTAGGCTACAATTGTATTCAAATGTTTAAAGAACTGAAAATATAAAATAAGAATTACATAGATCAGTAAAGTTCTCTGCCATATCTGCTCATAGCCTCTGGGAAGCCCACATATCACTGTATATCATCCACAGGAAAATGCATGTGTTAATGTAGTGTGCAGTACTTCACTGTGCAGCGCTGCACAACGAATATGGAAGAGTCATCGGAGGGAAACCCTACCTCTAGTCTCATCAATGTCATGGGACACAAACCTCAGATAAGCCTGGGTCATTTTGAAACCAACAGCTGTGGTTTGATTGGTTACAATCTGCCAATAAACAAAGAACAAGCAATAAAAGATGAACATCTTCCCAACTGTTAAACAAAAGGGTGGATCAGTTATGCTATGTGTAGAGGTGGAACCTCTTGGATTGTTCTGATAGACCTTTGAAAACTGGCGACTCCGGTAAGAGAGTAAAGGGCTCAGAGAGTCACATCCAAGAAAGCTTTAATGAGTTGGGTTTATACAGACCACTTTAGTGAGCATAAAGGTATACAGGCAAAAGTATTTGGGATGGGTATGTGTGTGTGTGGTCTGAAATAGAGGAAAATTGTGTAAATTAGATATAAAATATTACAGCCTTTCTATTAACTTCGTACAGATGTTAAACATTTACATTCTAAACATAAACAGATAAATAATCATCAATGGTCTGAAATCCTCTCACAAATTCACAATTATGCTAGTGTAGCATCTCAAACTATCTTAAAATGGCAAACAGATCAAGAGTTATATTAAATAACAATGCACTATTGCACGTGAAACTAGCATGTTAGCTTCCTAACGTAGATAAACAAATAACATAATACTGTGCAAATATGCGCTTACAAGATTAACAACATCATCACAATAACATCAACATTATTGACCTGCAAAATAAACGTACTTTTCTGCATGAACGCACACAACTTTAAAGTTCGGATGCTCACTCTAACCCAGCGCGTGTGGTGTATAAAACGCAGTGTTTTAAAGGGAAGGTGTATAGGTATCAGTAAGATGAAAAGATATGCGCCCTCTATTGGTAAAATATTAAAGTGAAACTAAAGGAAAATACTTTCCTACACTATGTGAAATAGAACATAGTGTACCAATAAACAGAAAATAAATAGGTCAAAACAAACCAAATACTTATCTCTGGAAATGATCGGATGACGATGATTAATAAATTAGGAGTAGAAGCAAAAAGTTGCTTATGAAAATTAGTGATTTATATTCTTGAAGCAAGAATAGACAGAGTGCAAGTTGGGTTAAGAATGACATTCGACAGACGATAGATAGACACAATAAATCACAGGCATAGTTGCAGGGAACCCACACCCTCAATTAACTTTCATTACTTTCATTTTCATTCATAATTACTGTATGGAGGTTTTATAGAGATTATAGAGACACAAAGAGCACTCTGTAGCTAGAAAAAAATCATATTCAGGTTGTCAATGATAATTTTTTCAGTCTTGGAAACCCCAGTTTTAAAATCCAATGACATTTTCAGGATTTTCATGACAGTGGAAGACCTATAGGCCTAGTTATTGTGAACTTGACGTGCATAAGAAAAACTACTCTGAAAATCTAAAAAAAAAAAAAACAGCTTTCAAGCAACGATCCTACATCAATGTGGAAAAGCCTGAAAGCCATCACCAGATACAAGACCTCATCCCCCAGCACTGAGGCCAATCAACAATTGGCTGAAGACCTGAACGAGTTTTACTGCAGGTTTGAAAAGCAAAAGCCTGGTCTGACACCCACTCTGACCGTCTCACAGCACAGCCATCAACACCCTCCCTCTCCCTCCCCCCTACTGTTTCTCATTCTGCACTTAAGATCTGTGAAGGTCTTCAGGAGACAGAAGATAAGGAAAGCCAAAGGACCAGACGGTGTCTCTCCAGCCTGCCTCAAAGCCTGTGCTGTCCAGCTATCATCCATCTTCACATTGATTGAAACGCTCCACCATCATCCCTGTACCCAAGAAACCAAAGAGCACAGGACTTAATGACTACAGACCTGTTGCTTTAACATCTGTGGTCATGAAGTCGTTTGAGAGGCTCGTGTTGGCATACTTGAAGGACATTACGGGACCCTTACTGGACCCCCTGCAGTTTGCTTACCGAGCAAACAGGTCTGTGGATGATGCAGTCAACATGGGACTGCACTACATCCTCCAACATCTGGACAAACCAGGGACTTATGCAAGGATCCTGTTTGTGGACTTCAGCTCGGCTTTCAACACCATCATCCCAGATATCCTCCTGATTAAACTGACACAGCTCTCTGTACCCACCTCCATCTGTCAGCGGATCACCAGCTTCCTGACAGACAGGCAGCAGCTAGTGAGGCTGGGAAAATTCACATCCAACACCCGCACCATGAGGTGGTCCTCAGGGCTGTGTTCTCTCCCCACTGCTTTTCTCTCTCTACACAAATGACTGCACCTCTAAAGACCCCTCTGTCAAACTCCTGAAGTTTGCAGATGACACCGCAGTCATCGGTCTCATCCAGGACGGCGACAAGTCTGCTTGTAGACAAGAGGTTGAGCAGCTGGCTGTCTGGTGCAGTCACAACAACCTGGAGCTCAACACGCTCAAAACTGTAGAGATGATAGTAGACTTTAGGAGGAACCCCCCTGCACTCCCCCAACTCACCATCATGGACAGCTCTGTGGCAGCAGTGGAGTCATTCAAATTCCTGGGAACCACCATCTCTCAGGATAACCCGATCTCATGAAAGTGAGTATAAATAGTGTGCCAAATAAAAACAAAAACTCGTGGTATTGATACGCATAATGGACTTTGGCATGTATATGTTACGCGATCGGTAGGATTAGGGTTGTAGGGTAGAAACTGCAAAAACTGCATATCATATGCACGCGAAAACTGCGTATTATATGCACGCCAAACACGTGCCTAGCATGTACACGCCAAAGTCCATTTTTGCGTATCAATACCACGAGTTTTCGTTTTTATTTTGCATATATATTTATACACATTTTCATGAGACCGGGCTCCTCAGGACCTGAAGTGGGACAATCACATCAACTCCATCGTGAAAAAGGCCCAGCAGAGGTTGTACTTCCTTTGTCAACTGAAAAAGTTCAACCTGCCACAGGTACAGATGACACAGTTTTACTCTACAGCTGTTATTGAGTCGGTTCTGTGCTCTTCTATAACTGTCTGGTTTGAGTCAGCCAGCAAATCAGATATAAGAAGACTGCAACGGACTGTTAGGACAGCAGAGAGGATAATTGGTGTGTACCTGCCCAACCTTCAGGACTTGTACAACTCCAGAGTGAAAAAATGGGCAGGAAACATCATCAAAGACCCCTCTCACCCCAGCCTCAACCTGTTTGCACTTCTCCCCTCAGGCAGATGGTACAGATCTCTGTGCACTAGAACATCTAGGCATAAAAACAGTTTCCCCCCATGCCATCTCCAGCCTAAACAGCTAACACAGGAATTATGACCTGTGTTCTGTAATTCATTCATTCTCTATCTCTAATTATTGCCTCTCTCTCAAGTACTATGTAAATACATATGCATATGTTCTATACAGCTGTATATATAGAGTAAATAATGCACAAATCTGTACATAAATCTTCTGTTCCAGATTCATATACATTATTATTTACTGTTAAGTCTTATTTAAATGTTTCTGTTCTCATGTCAGATATGCATGTATGTATGTACCAAGAGCTTCTTAAAAAAAACACAACAAATTCCTCGTGTGTTTGCGCACACTTGGCGAATAAAGCTGAGTCTGATTCTGATCAATTAATTTGGTCAGAGATGTTCAAACTGTGTGTGTGCATGCTCCGTGTGTTTACCATTTCACAGTGTGTGTTAACCTCAGAGAAAACATTTACCCTATAATTTAAACTGTAAATATAATGTTAGTCAGTCCCCTACCTGCCCACATTCCTGTGACCTGGTTTGATAGTGAGGGGAACACAATGCGTCCTATCAGTGCTGTCCGCACATCGCGCATACGTTGCGTTACGGCGATTTGGTACGAAAAGTATGGTACTTTAATTGTTAAGACTTCGCTCTTTCCAAGCTGTAAAGCGGAACGACATTTACATCTTCTTGAGTGGTTGAAAGACAAACAAAGTGCCTGAGCAGGTGTCAGGAGCTGAAGCGCTGGAGTGATTTTCTCTATGAGCACAAGTAAGATTCAACATTTTCATTCTTGATCTCAAGTTCCGAAGTGACATTGGGCAGTTCCAGCATTTAATTAAGCGTGCCCTGAAAACGTTAGGACACATTACTCGTTCGGGGAAGTATTGACTAGCCTGCTTAGGATTCGATTGCCGATGTAGTGTTACCGGTGTGAGCTGGTGATGTGTGCGCCCAGCTGATCTCTGAAAAGTCTAATTAGTACGCCAGTTTCCATACAGCTGGGGAAAATGTCTAGAAAAAAATCACAACGTTTGTACATGGTGGTTATGTAGCTTTACAAATATTAACACCGCACTTAAAGACTATTTGAAACGGACAGATCTTCCATGGCAACCAGGCTTCGAAAAAATACCACTAATTCCTATACTTCAAAACCATAATAAAAAAAACTATTAATTATTAAATCACAAATAATAGTGTATATATATATATATATATATATATATATATATATATATATATGCTGATAGGCTAGATGAACAGTATTGCACTCGCAGTCGTGCGTTAAAGAGCGTTACTGAGCGCTGTAAAGTTAGTTTTAGGTTTTATATTCGCTGCATATTCGCCAAGGGTGCTTTAGGGACGGTCTGCAAATTCATCTCACATTGCAAAACGAGGTCAAATAATTCATTCAAATTAATGTTTAAAAGGGTTATAGTACATGCCTTGTGTGCACACGGACTTATTTTGTGAATACCTCCCTTACTGTATTTACAGCACACAAATAAGTTTAAGAAAATAATTACAGTGATTCACAAAAAAAGTTTTTTTTTTGTTTTTTTTTTCATATTCCAAAAGTTGTAGTAGGTTCCTGCTGGCCAGACTGACTTACTACAGCTGAATTTTTGCCAATACCTCCCTTACTGTACATACAGCAATCAAAAATGTTTAGAAAAGAAACTACTGTAATTCACAAAGGTTTATTTTTTCCATATTCCAAATGTTGTAGTAGGTTCCTGGTGGCCAGTCGGACTTACAACAGGTGAAATGTTGCCAGTACCTCCCTTACTGTACATACAGTAAACAAATATGTTCATTAAAATAATTACAGTAAATCACCAAATGGGTGTTTTCATATTCAATAGATTGTAGTAGGTTCCTGGCAGCCAGAATGACTTAGTACAGCTGAAATGTTGCCGATACCTTCCTTACTGTATGTACAGTACATACATATTTTATAAAATTATTAATGTAATTCACCAAAAAAAAAAAAATCATATTCCAAAGGTTGTAGTAGGTTCCTAGTGGTCAGACTGATTTACTACAGCTGAAATTTTGCCAAAACCTCCCTTTCTGTACATACAGTACACAAATATTTCATGAAAATAATTACAGTAATTCACTAAGGTTTATTCACTTTGCAAAGATTGTAGTATGTCTCTACTGGCCAGACTGATTCACTACAGGTGACATTTTGACATTACCTCCCTTACTGTACGTACAGTACACAAATATTTTGATGAAAATAATTACAGTAATTCACCAAAAGGGTTTTTTCATATTCCAAAGGTTATAGTGGCCAGACGGACTTACTACATGTGAAATTTTGCCAATACCTTCATTTCTGTATGTACAGTACACAAACATTTTTATGAAAAAAAGTTACAGTAATTCATCAAAAGTGTGTTTTTTTTCATGTTCCTGTTAATTTTTTTTTTTGTGTGTAGTTTTTTTGGACACTTTTTTCATATCTGTTCATGCTCAATTTTCACAGTTGATTTTCTACTATGTTAATCAATTTGGTCCTCTCAGTTTCCTTGTCAGTTTGTTACCATAGTTACACATTGATTTGAGTGCTCAGTTCAGGTTTGCATTATTTTGTTCCCTCGTATGGTGTCACTATTTATACTCGCTGTTTCTCCTTAGTCTTTGTTCTGGTATTAGTCATATTTTAGTTATTGTGTTGTGTTGTTTCTCCTCTGATTCTCTATTTTTCAGTTTTTCTGGATTTAAATAAAATTTCCCTGGACTTTGATTCCGGCCTCCAGTGTTTTAACTCAGCAATGTGACCGAATACCAGAAACCCACAACAAATCTGGACTTGCCTGCGGTGTGTTTGCTCTTCTTGGAGCAGTGGTCAGAGGCGGACTTACCCATTAGGCAAAGGTAGGCAACCGCCTTGGGCCTCCAAAAGCCAAGGGCCCCCTAAAATGCTTTTCATCTACAAGATGCGCATTAAGCGCGGACACACGAACGGTTGCTATTTACAGTGTTTATCACCACGACAACCGTCTGCGTGTCCAGATTGAACACACTTCTCGTGTATCCTGCTTGTAGCAAATGAAAATATGTATCTGAAGCTGTAATTAAATATTGAGCAACAGTGCGTATTATATGTTTATTGTTTTAAATGCTGCTACTTATTCATAAGAACCCAAGTAGAGGACGCATACGCAGTTAATTGTTTGGTTGATATAATCCTTAGGTGTGTAAATTTATAATTTCCTTTTCATCATTTTTTTCATTTTCATTTATATTTGTAGTTAAAATAACTAAAATAAGTGTATTTTAAAGTTTAGAATTAGACAGCCTTTGGCACAGAGGCTTACGCTGGAAACTCATCACAGTCCTCAGTGGACTTTCCTCCTCAATATAGGCTATATTTTTTCACACTTCTCATTCTCACTAATTCAAGTTTTTACATGAATGAATCTCTGAAGGGAACCAACTGTCTTCAGAAAGGTTTCGATGGCATTTTCATTTTATCTGATAATGTAGCGTTAATGAGCAGCACTGCTTTGTTTATAGCCGTTACCGGGGAAACCGCTGTATTTCTGATGTTCCAAAAGTGCCTTCTGCTGGCAGAGAATCAATGTACATTTTCAATAATCCCATCTGCAGTTTTTGTTCAGACCAATGTGAAAATCCACCCTCTTAACCCTGTTTTAAATTAATATCATAATTTATACTTCAGACTCTCTTTTCTTAAAAAATGTTTTAAAGGCTCAATTGTGAGGTTTATCATTTTCTAATTTATTTTGTTTTTGTGAAAACTGTAAATCAATTGCTATTTCGTGGTCTACAAAATGAAAGAAAGCTATTATAATATGTACATGAAAAATGAGAAACATTGGACAGAACTGTGGGGCACCATTATGCTGCCGCAAGCATCACAACAAAAAAAAGAACCTCAAGGCTAAATTTGTAAATGTGTGCAAATACATAGGGTCCCATTCATATATTTTGCCTGGGGCCCCCAAATCACTAAATCCGCCCCTGGCAATGGTGGAGATCCCTTGACGACCACATGAGGGATTTTTTAGTGTCTTGCTTTACTTTGTTTCCTGACCACTCGTTAAGCGGATTTTACCATGCCAGGCTTGAGCAGATGAGGGCACACCTGCCCACCGAGGATCCTCTGGAAAAGTTTGTGGACTTTGTGGAGTGTGTGTTGGCCACCTGTGGATCGTCTCAGTTACTGCTGTAACCCTTGTTCCCTGAATGAGGGAACAGAGATGTTACATTGATACTGATGTATAGGGTCATGCTTGGAAACCCCAATAACCTTCAGTTAAGAAGAGAAAGAGCCAATGAACTGTGGTTGGTGAGATTTGCATGCCAAATTTCCTCCCTGTGACCCATGGGGTATATAAGGAAGTCGGCAGCACACTCACCTCAGATTTACAGCTGAGGAGCCGAGATGGGATCCCGGCACCCCAGAGTTGGCCCGCGGTTGTGGCATGAGGGATGTATCATCTCCGTTCTCTCATTCAAGAAACGAGGGTTACAACAGTAACCGAGATGTTCCCTTTCATTCAATCATGTTCGACGTTACGTTCCCTATGGAAAGCGCCACAACCAATGGCCCTTCCCAGGACCCCATGTAAGGCAACAAAGTCTACTGTAACGTGGGACAGACAAGCAGTCCATACTGTTCCTGAAGTAATTTCAGATTTCTCTGATTTATGACAAAGCACTGTGGAAAGCGTGCCCGTGAAAGGGAAAACATAATCAGAGAAAACTGTGGAGAACTACATACGAACTGACAGATGGCAGTAACAATGTATGGAGATGGTCTGCAACTGTGTTCTACCAACTGGAAGAACAAAATAGAGGTATTTGCAAGGGAAAAGCTTTTGCAAGGGAAAGACACAGTGTACACTATGGAAAAATACATGCACAAGATTACCAAACCAGGAATCCAAGTGCGGAGCACAAGGCCATATGCAGGGGCTGACCAACAAGGCATTCACACACAAAGTCAGGTGTCAGACAAAGAGCTGCTCAGATGTTCTGAAACACTGCATATGGTCCACATAGATGCGCATGGCACGAACAGGACACAGCAATGCGAGGGCTGGGTCAACAAACGATTCTCCACTCGGCCCTCCATGGAGGAAGGAGCGGCGCTTTCACCATCTCCTGAAAAAGAGCAGTTCCCTCCATCTCCAGGTGGACTGTCTCAGGGAGGCTTTGGCTGCCGCTTGGAGGGTTTAGCTGCAGACCATGAGACTAGGGTGTCACCTTCCAATGGAGCAGGCAACAGGAGGACACCCTCGACAACGAGCAGACAATGAGGCAGCACCCAGAGGCTTGGTGGAAGAAACATCACACTGAGGCAAGAAGTGTTTAATTGTCTCCGTCTGCTAAAAAGAACTCCTTAGCGAAGTCCTCGACAGTGTTGCTGAACAATCCAGCCTGTGAGATGGGGGTGTCAAGAAAGTGAACTTTGGACCCTGGACAACAGTACGGGCCTGGGAGCAAAATTTGGTTGACCCTCCTGTTATCTCTGTCAAGACGGCTCTGAAAAACATTTTAGAGCCAAGGAGCCCATTCCTGACTCCAGTGTCCCTAGCTCCTTTGCCATGGTCACAGAAGCCTTGCCTGACTCCAGAGTCCCTAGCTAAAGAGGCTGCTCCTGAACTAATAGCCTTGTGACACCAGCGCCAACCTGGTGGTTCCCTGTACTGCCAGCTTTGCCCTGGCTTCTTGTACTGCTGGCTCTGTCTTGGACTCCTGTACTGCTGGCACCTCTCTGTATTCCTTGTACTGTCCTGGAGAATTACTGTCCTGCTGGAGCAGCTTTGGTCACACCCTTCACCACTCTCTCATCTTTTTAAGTGGGAGAACTTGCACAATTGGTGGCTGACTAAATACTTTTTTGCCCCACTGTACATAAACAAACATTTTGGTGAATTAGAGTAACTTTTTTCTAAAAAATATCTGTGCATTGTATGTGCCGTAAAGGAGGTATTGACAAGATTGCAGCTGTAGTAAGCCAGACTGGCCACCAGAAACCTACTACAATATTTGGAATATGAAAAAAAAAAAATCATTCATTTCATCAATTCATTCTAGTATTTTTTCAAATATTTTTTTTTAGTTATGGCAACAAAAAAAATTTAACTCTTGAGTGCTACAAGTTTTACAATGTGTATTATTAAATGTTAAAAGTTATTGTAATTGCAATAATTTTTACGTTTTAAACCAGTTGATGCATCGTGCACCGTAATACTGCATTAAAGCTTTCCCGGGTATAAATTTGCAGCTAAAATACACGTAGGAGTTTTGAATTAATATTTTTTATGTCGAAATACAATGGTTGCATACTGTTAAAAATTAATCGTGGTATTGATATCATTGTAGGAATGTCGACTCTATAACAGTGGCAAGGGAATGTGAATGTACGGCAAATATCGAACCTAAAAATAACTTTACGGAACTGCAATACTGTATGATATCACATATGCCAGTGTGATATTGCTGACATATAAAAAGTCACTTTAGAACTAGAAATGACAGTTGTGCCTGGACTGTGTCATTGCAAGTAAGAAAAAAGTGTGTGAGAGAGAAAAGTGTGTGTATAATTACCTGTTCTTTCGGGTAAAATTATATATAGGAAAAAAATCTGCTTGACGTGTCCCTGAGGATATCAATAACTTATCCGTACTTACAGGTTGAGGAGCTTCCAGGTTACTTGCATGTACATGTACATTGATCAGTAAGGAGTGAAGTGTCATTTGAGTTGGCTTTACTGAGCACTGAAATCTGGCTCTTAAAGATCAAATAGTTTCAGCACTTTTCGAACCCAAATGAACCTGTATTTTGAACAAATCTATTGAGTGAATGATTCAGTGACTCACTCGTAACAACAGTCAGGCCCTGTCCTAAATGGCACACTTCGGCCCTGTCCCAAATGGAACACTTCATGTGCACTTGCGGTCTTACGGACTTACAATGGCCGCCGCGTGCATGTGTCCCTTAAGTCCACGAGACCATAGGGTGTCTCATTTGTCATTTTAGCGTTCAGAAGTGTGCTCGCGAGCGCCCCCTTTGCGGCCGTTATGCGCCCTCAATCGACACTTCTGCCGAGCCTGCACTGGTGCGAGCTCCGCAGCAGACTTCTACCCGACAGTCAAAGCGGCATTACGTCACAAAAGTGCAGACTCGGAGGAAGACCGCGAGGGTTAAGGTGCTATTTGGGACAGGGCCTTCACGAGACCGTAGAGTGTCCCATTCATCATTTTAGCTTTCAGAAGGGTGCTCACAAGCACCCCCTTTGCGGCCGCTATGCACCCTCATTGCGCACTTCTGCCAAGTCTGCACTGAGGCGAGCTCTGTAGCAGACTTCTACCCGACAGTCAAAGCAGCAATACGTCACGAAAGTGTGGACTCAGAGGAAGATCGCAAGGGTTTAGGGTACAATTTGGGACAGGGCCTCATTCGTTGTGCTTGAATGAATCAGTATAATCGGTTCAATTAATGGTTCAATGACTCAAAACAAAGTCACTTGTCACCACCTACAGGATGTAACACTAGGGCCTTTAGCACCGCGGGAACCTTTTCATAGTACCAGAACTAATTGTGGAACTACCCACTTTTTGGCGTTTTCGCACCGCCGGAACTGGGTGCGATTTTAGTACCGGGCTGCCTTTTTCGAGAACCAAATTAGCTCCTACTCCGGAGCAGGGTCTAACCAGCACAACTGGTACTAATCGTGACGCAAGTAGACATTGATTGGCCAAACGCATATGAAAACGCCCTCACCCGCCCTGTTTTAAAACGCCGTGTAAACATACTGTAAACATTGTGTCAACTTATTTCGCAAGTATGGAGAACAGAGATAGATGGACGGACGCTGAAGTGCAGGCACTTGTAGCAAATGTAGCACTGCCAGTTGTCGTTGGAGATTCTTAGTCCTCCTTTCCGTTCCTTCAATTGCTTTACGTATACGTCGACTTTCCATGTCCATTATTGTGAAACCCGCGAGACACAACAAAAACACAGCTCCGATCACAGCGTCCTCCATCCTCCTGTTGTTAATGTTGTTCTTTGTTTACATTGTTGAACGCCGCGCACAAATGACGACGCTGTCGGCCGGCTTACGTCACTTCTTAGTACACACTGTCGGTGCGAATGCAACCCTTTAAATGGTACTGGGAAATAGTTTGCGCAAAATCGTCCCAGTACTTTAGTACTGTACATTTAGTTCTGGAACTAAAGTGGTGCGAAAGGCCCTAAAGTGATACAAACAGTGCTGGTAGCAGTCTTGAAATGCCCCTCTGTCCAATCTGATTTGAGACCTTCAATATTCCAGATTTACTTGACCACAGACATTTTGAATTGATGTTCTTAAAATTTTTTCGGTAGTAGTCATCAATGGTCTGTAATAATACACTCTTACTGGTGTCTAATTAACAAAAACTGCCATTTTTAGAGCAGTTAGGTTATTATGGACATACAGTATTCTTTGTGAAAACAATGGTTTGTTTTTGTACATTTACATTTTTTGCAGTTTAACACATTTTTCTGTGTTTCATAAACGTTTTATCGTTAAAATGGTCAAGCTTACACTCGGAAAATTCGCTGTGGAGTAAAAAGTGTGACAACTAGCCCCGTTTCCCGATAATAGCCGATATGCAATGTATCCCTGTATACTTCATAATATTTAAACAGGCTGTAAGTCCCGTGACTTCAAAACATCATTTAACAAAATGAGATAACCCCGCATTCAACTGGTGTTGCTTCATGAACTGCCCAAATAAAGCGCATCTGGCGTGCGGAAAAGCTCGTGTTTCTTGTAGTGATGTAGATGTGTGTGGTTGGTGGATGAGATAAAAACGCATTCGCACGGATCCAGTCCTCTGCTCGAGACTTCATGTAAATACTCCACAAACGATCGCGGAGGGACGTCACTCTCACTCTCACTCTCACACACACCGCCTACAACTTCCATATATCCACCTGGAAACTAGATGCAACGAACATTAGCACCAATGAAGGGTGAAGATGATGTAAGTACCGCGAGGAAAGATGAGGAGGCTGATGGCTCCGGTGAGTTTCTCATGTTTTGCATTCAGAATCCTGATTGCGCCTTTATTTTTGTAACCATGAATATTGAAGATCGACAGATTATGGATCGCTCCGTAGCCAAACAGAATCCATCACTCAGACAACGTATTTATTTTTAACACGATTGCAATGCCCTAGATTGTTATAACATCCAGGTATGTTATAAATAATGCATTTAAGCAATAACCTGTTGACTGGTGTTATTATTAATAAAATAATACTAATAGTAAAGTCAGATGTGATGAATGGATAAAGAGGCGTGTGTTATTAGGTGAGCAACAGTGTTCTGTGGGTTTAGTGCAGTCACGTATTGCCTTCAGGCGCGCGCGCACGCACACTGAGCATATGAGGAAAATCCATCGCAGCATCATCATCTTCACCTGAGGAGAGAGATGTTGGTCTGAGGGGGCGGGGCATGTCAACCTGAGCTGTCGGAGGGGATTGTCCCATTTGGGGTAGGCTATATGGAGGCATGGCTTTTCAAAAAGAAATGGTTTAAGGGAGAATGTCACTACATTATCTACAAGGATTTTTATAGTAGAATGTGGGAATGATGTATAAAACCTGTAATATTTTCCATATTTGCAACAGTGTTACAAGTTTCATGATTTATTGGCCTTATAACTCACATTGAATGACTACCACAAGGGTGTTTGCCATCCTGAAAATTGCTTTCATTTGTCTGACATCATTATCGTGAATGTAATCAAGCTTCATTAACTAATCTCAACGAGCAAATGAGTATATGGTCCTCTTAAACATAAAACTCTAGGTAATGTTCTGGCTGAAAATGACCAGAAAGCATGTTGCATATCAGTTGGCTATTCAATAGTTGTAGCCTTCGTGTTCCTCTTCTGATGGCAGCTGGTTTTATGTGGCTTCTTGGCGGAACATGCTGTTCAGTTTTGTTTATTAGCTTGTCTACATTGATCTAGGTGATGGATCAGATGGACTAGCAGTTAATAGGGCTGAGATTGATCCGGCAGACTTTGACCAAGCTGGTTAAAGCTGATAAACCACCTTGGACCGGTGACAAACCAGCTATAATGTTCCAAAATTAAGTTTGATTATCCTCTGATGAAATGACAAGGATTTTCCAGCAGGAACGGAAATCTAATTCAACAAAATTTGTTTCAAACTCACTTTTTAATTTAAGAAAATTTCTCTAAAGATTCTTTGCTTATTGCAGCAAATGTTATATAATAATATAACATGAATGTATCTGGGATCATGTAAACTAATGAATTTCACATATAATATGCCATTTTAATAGTAAAGGATGTTCGTATTAATACCCCTAGTTTCCATAGGTCTGTCAAAATTATATATATATATATATGTGTATGTATATGTGTGTGCGTGCGTGCGTGCGTGTGTGTGTGTGTGTGTGTGTGTGTGTATTTTTTTTCTTGGGTTATTTATTTGTTGTGTTTATCATGTTCAAATTTATACTGAGTACAAAGGAAAAAAGGCTTACTGACATTATTGCAGTGACAGTCCCCCTGGAGCAGTCCGAGGTTAAGCATACACACACACTTGTATCCTACAATGACCTACATATGCATTCTAGGGAGAAAAATTTAGGCATGTGTTCTATAGGGCATTGTTTTTGCTTTATTTTTTATTTGAGACTCATTATACAGTACCATTGTTGTATTACCACTCCATTTTTAAAAACATTGATTTATTTATTAGGTTTTAGTCAAGGTGATGAATTTCCAATGCGTGTCTTACATGAATTGCATTTGTTCTCAGCTGCTCTGTAATTCGGTTGGAAGGTATTATTGTTATCAATATATTGACCCCTTGCTGCCCTCTCTGTTTTTACTCCAGAGCTGTGATCTATAAAAAAGCAACAGAAGTTGTTATGGTATTAAATATAGTATGTTCCAAAATTATGAGACCTTATTGAAAATTAAATGTAAACATTTGTAAAAAAGAAAACAACAGTAAAACAAAGAATCATGAAAATAAAAAGAAATATTTAAGATTCTGCACAATTTCTTGGTCCAAAAAAAAAAGGAAACCAATTTAGAATACTGACTGTGTGACCACTTCTGTTTTTAAAAATAGGTTTTTTTACACTTTCATTTTTTATTAAATGTGAACTGTTTGGCTGTCTGTTGCTCTTGATTGTTTATTTTTAATTTGCATTCAAACTTGATTTTTCTCTTTAAGTGTATGTCAAACTAAACTTTACACCAGCTGATTATGTGCAAATCTGTGTTACACGAATAGTCGTTGAGATTAATTTAGCATTGCACTTTAGGTTCCTATTGCAAATCAATAATATTTGCTAATAGTAAAGTCAGATGTGATGAATGGATAAAGAGGCGTGTGTTATTAGGTGAGCAACAGTGTTCTGTGGGTTTAGTGCAGTCACGTATTGCCTTCAGGCGCGCGCGCACGCACACTGAGCATATGAGGAAAATCCATCGCAGCATCATCATCTTCACCTGAGGAGAGAGATGTTGGTCTGAGGGGGCGGGGCATGTCAACCTGAGCTGTCGGAGGGGATTGTCCCATTTGGGGTAGGCTATATGGAGGCATGGCTTTTCAAAAAGAAATGGTTTAAGGGAGAATGTCACTACATTATCTACAAGGATTTTTATAGTAGAATGTGGGAATGATGTATAAAACCTGTAATATTTTCCATATTTGCAACAGTGTTACAAGTTTCATGATTTATTGGCCTTATAACTCACATTGAATGACTACCACAAGGGTGTTTGCCATCCTGAAAATTGCTTTCATTTGTCTGACATCATTATCGTGAATGTAATCAAGCTTCATTAACTAATCTCAACGAGCAAATGAGTATATGGTCCTCTTAAACATAAAACTCTAGGTAATGTTCTGGCTGAAAATGACCAGAAAGCATGTTGCATATCAGTTGGCTATTCAATAGTTGTAGCCTTCGTGTTCCTCTTCTGATGGCAGCTGGTTTTATGTGGCTTCTTGGCGGAACATGCTGTTCAGTTTTGTTTATTAGCTTGTCTACATTGATCTAGGTGATGGATCAGATGGACTAGCAGTTAATAGGGCTGAGATTGATCCGGCAGACTTTGACCAAGCTGGTTAAAGCTGATAAACCACCTTGGACCGGTGACAAACCAGCTATAATGTTCCAAAATTAAGTTTGATTATCCTCTGATGAAATGACAAGGATTTTCCAGCAGGAACGGAAATCTAATTCAACAAAATCTGTTTCAAACTCACTTTTTAATTTAAGAAAATTTCTCTAAAGATTCTTTGCTTATTGCAGCAAATGTTATATAATAATATAACATGAATGTATCTGGGATCATGTAAACTAATGAATTTCACATATAATATGCCATTTTAATAGTAAAGGATGTTCGTATTAATACCCCTAGTTTCCATAGGTCTGTCAAAATTATATATATATATATATGTGTATGTATATGTGTGTGCGTGCGTGCGTGCGTGTGTGTGTGTGTGTGTGTGTGTGTGTATTTTTTTTCTTGGGTTATTTATTTGTTGTGTTTATCATGTTCAAATTTATACTGAGTACAAAGGAAAAAAGGCTTACTGACATTATTGCAGTGACAGTCCCCCTGGAGCAGTCCGAGGTTAAGCATACACACACACTTGTATCCTACAATGACCTACATATGCATTCTAGGGAGAAAAATTTAGGCATGTGTTCTATAGGGCATTGTTTTTGCTTTATTTTTTATTTGAGACTCATTATACAGTACCATTGTTGTATTACCACTCCATTTTTAAAAACATTGATTTATTTATTAGGTTTTAGTCAAGGTGATGAATTTCCAATGCGTGTCTTACATGAATTGCATTTGTTCTCAGCTGCTCTGTAATTCGGTTGGAAGGTATTATTGTTATCAATATATTGACCCCTTGCTGCCCTCTCTGTTTTTACTCCAGAGCTGTGATCTATAAAAAAGCAACAGAAGTTGTTATGGTATTAAATATAGTATGTTCCAAAATTATGAGACCTTATTGAAAATTAAATGTAAACATTTGTAAAAAAGAAAACAACAGTAAAACAAAGAATCATGAAAATAAAAAGAAATATTTAAGATTCTGCACAATTTCTTGGTCCAAAAAAAAAAGGAAACCAATTTAGAATACTGACTGTGCGACCACTTCTGTTTTTAAAAATAGGTTTTTTTACACTTTCATTTTTTATTAAATGTGAACTGTTTGGCTGTCTGTTGCTCTTGATTGTTTATTTTTAATTTGCATTCAAACTTGATTTTTCTCTTTAAGTGTATGTCAAACTAAACTTTACACCAGCTGATTATGTGCAAATCTGTGTTACACGAATAGTCGTTGAGATTAATTTAGCATTGCACTTTAGGTTCCTATTGCAAATCAATAATATTTGCTTTGATACATTTGTGTTTGCTCTTCAACAGGGGAGAAACTCTTGGGTTTCAACAGCACAGAGGAGCAGCCATCAGGCCCGAGAGGACAAGACAGCATGTGGCGAAATGAGAAGTATGAAACTGTCCCATTGGATGTGAAGGGGATTGATGAAGACAATTCTAAAGGCACTAGAGATTCTCTATACCCCCAGGCTGCTGTAAGTCACAACAACAGAGAAAACATACCTCTGCACTCATTTCGTCCACTTTTCAGGGATAAAGACATATTACCGGTTCCTCACCTGTTTTCCTGTCTTTCTAGTACTGCATAATTTGCAAGGCAAACTATGGACAAATATGTGGACATTTGAATGCTTCAGTTTACACTTTTGTAGGGAGCAGGTGATATATGATATTTAAGCTAGGGAGGTTAAATTACATAGTCAAATTTGCATTGTAATTCTATTGTTTATGCAAGGGAAATAATCTTGTACACTTATATCATGGAGTATAATTAACCACATATATTTTTATGAAAACTAAAGCTTGCCAAACACATCTCGGCTAGAACACATTGCCTTCCTTTTCGTACTCCAGATGGTGCAATATACTTTAAGCTCTGCCGAGTTTGCATACCCTTTGGGTGTGCAAAACTACTTGGCATACTAAGAGAGTATTTGAACGTCTTTGCAAATCTGCAGGACAGGCTAGTCACTTTGAAATACCCTCTGAAATGACTTTATAAAAATGTATTTAACCATGTATTTGTGTGCATGTTCATAGATTTGGTACTTTTTGAGTGGTGTGTTACTCCTTATAAGGATTTAACCACATATTCAGGATTAAAATGACAAATCGTCCACAGAAAAATCAAACAGCACTTGTCAAGCAGTAAACTTAATTTTGCATCTTAATAAGCTTTTGACAGCTTCCACCACTCTATCTCATTATTTATAATTCTTTGAGTGCAATTGAATATGTTTTCCCTCTTAGTATTTTGTTCAGAAATCTAGCATGAGACATATTTACAGGAGTGAAAAAGTGTGGCAATAGAAAGAAAAAAAATGTTTATTTAACCTATTTAGCCATAATAAATAATGTCATTTAAAAATCCATTTATATTTATGCATGGGAATTGAGAAATTTCTTTAGTCTTTTTAACTAAAGACTAACATTATTTGTTTGTTGATACCGCCCCTATAGATGTTTGGTCTTCATGTAAATCCCAGCGTTGTGATTCTAACTTCTTCATTACGCAGAACTGGTTTAAAGGGATAGTTCACCCAAAAATGAAAATTTGATATTTATCTGCTTACCCCCAGGGCATCCAAGATGTAGGTGACTTTGTTTCTTCAGTAGAACACAAACTGAGATTTTAATTCAAACCGTTGCAGTCTGTCAGTCGTATAATGTAAGTGGATGGGAATCACGGCTTTGAGAGTCATAAAACATACACAAACAAAACCAAATTAAACCCTGCGGCTCGTGACGATACATTGATGTGTAAAGACACAAAACGATCGGTCTGTGCAAGAATTTATATAGTTTTTTACCTCTGATTTTCACCGCAGTGTCTGAACTGTCCTGAGCGCGTTCGCACTCTAAAATGGACCATTGACACTCTATCTACAATCTCAATTATGAGTGTCAATGGTCCATTTGAGAGATAGGTGGTGGTAATGCACTTATAAGTCTGCGATCCGCCATAAAGCAAGAAGAAGAAGAAGAAGACGCCTCACACGCAGACTGAAGAAGAAGACGCAAATGCACTCAGGACAGTTCAGACATTGCGGTGAAAATCAGAGGTAAAAAACTACATAAATACTGTTCAGTTTCTTGCACAGACCGATCGTTGTGTGTCTTTACACATCAGTGTATCGCCGCGAGCCACAGGGTTTAATTAGGTTTTGTTTGTGTATGTTTTATGACTCTCAAAGCCATGATTCCCATCCACTTACATTATATAACTGACAGACTGCAACGGTTTGAATTAAAAATCTCTGTTTGTGTTCTACTGAAGAAACAAAGTCACCTACATCTTGGATGCCCTGGGGGTAAGCAGATAAACATCAAATTTTCATTTTTGGGTGAACTATCCCTTTAAGTGGTTTAATACATGGGCTGGAAACCCGAAGGTCCTGGAATCAAACCTCACAGGGGATGACGCATGAATTGTAGAGTTACTGAGTTCCAGTCTGTTCTTAAGCAAAGTGCACTGAATGTTCTAAAAACACTGTGCCTGCAGTAAACTATACTAGGTACATCTATTTTTCTTTTTTTTTTTGGTTGGAAGCATCTGCTAAATAACAAAAAGATTTCTGTGTCCCGCATTTAAGCAGAAGGAACAAACTTTGAATCTGTGCTGCTCAATGCAGGATGGAAATTGAATATGTTCAGCTGATTGCCTCTTTGTCCTGATAAATGTATTAGTGCACTGCTCATTTGTTGGAAAAAAGAAGTAGACTTTTAGTCAGTGTCACCTTGTTGTTATTGGTTTCGAAGAAGATGTACTCTGTTTCTGTGTAAGACAAACCCACTTGTAAATACTTGCAAGCATCAGTAAATTGTTTTATAGTTTCTGTAATCTGTACTGGAACGCAAATATACACTACTGTTCTAAGAAGTTTGAGGTTAGTAAAAGTTTAAATATATTTAAAAAAAAGTCTATTATACTCAGCAAGGCATTTATTTTAACAAAGATAAAGTAAAACTGTAAAATTGTGAAATGTTATCACAGTTTAAAATACATGCTTTAATGTATTTTGAAATGTAATTTATTCTTGTGATGGCAAAGCTGAAAATTCAGCAGCCATTACTTCAGTCTTCAGTGTTAAGATCTTTCATTCTAACATGCTGATTTAACACATGAAGTAACATTTCCAAGTAGCATTATGTTGCTTACTGTTTGTGTAAAATGTTTAATTATTATTTTATTCTTTAATGTCTAGAAAGTTCAAAAGAGCAGCATTTGCTAATTTGAATTTTGACATTTTGTTTTCTTTGTAGCAATATTAAAGTCTTTACTGTCACTTCAATTTAATATATCTTTGCTGAATAAAATAATTAATTTCTTAAAAAAATGCTGACCCCAAAATTAATCAAGAGTGTAAGTGCACCAATAGGTTTCTACATAGATGAGATCTTTTTCCCTCATAAAAATTAGCTGTAATTTGTTAACTAGGATTTATTTGGTGGGTAGTACCTCTCTTGCCCCATGTTTCTATGTGTCCTTGTTCAAACTAACAACACCCCAAACTCACAGCACTCAAACCAACAGAACATTGAAAGCACCACAGAGCCACAGTGTTTACCATATACTGGAAAATCAGCCTATGAATGGTTTACGTCTCAGTGAAGTAAGCTGGAATAGAATAGTGTTTAATATAAATACACCTTTAAAGGGCCAGAAATCTGAAAGTCATACTCTGAGTACACAGGCAGGTTTATGTCTGTTTTTGTAATAGACGTAAAGATTACTTAAAGGGGTCATATGATGCGATTTCAATTTTTCCTTTCTCTTTGGAGTGTTACAAGCTCTTGGTGCATAAAGAAGATCTGTAAAGTTGCAAAGACTGAAGTCTCAAATCCAAAGAGATATTCTTTATAAAAGTTAAGAGTCAGCCACGCCTACCTAAAACGGCTCTTTCTAACACGCCCCCACATATCTACGTCACTGTGGTTCAAAAAAGCCCGCCCGCCGCCACTCACTCAAGCCGGCCTCTGCTCACTCTTGCCCGCCGTGTGTGACGCTGTGTTTCGTTGTGAAAGCGAAACTACTTTGTTTGGCCTTCCAAAAGAGGACACGACTAGAAATCAGTGGTTAAGTTGTATTTACAACACTGTTCCAGAACACTTCAACCCAAATATTCAGATGTGTGCAGCACATTTTATGGAGGACTGTTTCCTGATCCTGGTAGAGTAGACTACAATGCCGGCTGTTCTGACTCACAGACTGTAAGTAATTTTTTTTATATTTAAAGAATTTGCCACTGATGATTCAAACACGAGTTTTGAGCAGTGTAGAGTAGCGCTTGGTGTTTGTCATTTCTCCGATCACAAATGCAGACATGGTTTTATGTTTACGCGGCGCAATGCAACGCCACGCGTAAAAAGACAGTATAAGTCATTATAATCCGTAATTATGTCCCCA